TCTTTGTGAAAAACGACAAAATGAGGTTAAGGGCAATCTGTAAAGGAACTGTGGCCTTTAATGATGGTCATGTCAGTGAACCTACCCCTTGTCCTTGGGTGATACAAGGTTCTAGGTCAGATGTAAATAGTAATTGGTTCATAAAAACTTACAACCACGAACATAAATGCCTCCAGACAAGAAAAGTTAGATCTGCAACAGCAAAGTTTATCTCTAAGCAGATAATGGACCAGATTGAATCCAACCCAACAATCCCAGTCAGAGCTCTTCAAGAACAACTTCAAAAGGATTATCAAGTTGGATTCTCTATTCACAAGGTATTCAGGGCCAAATCAACTACAAAAAAACTTGTCCAGGGTGATTACAAAAAGCAATATGATGTTCTTAGAGATTACATCCTGGAGTTGCAGTCTACTAATCCAGAAACCACTGTGAAGTTAGAGTTTGATTCAGAACCCAACCTAAGTGCTACCTCAAGAAGGTTTAAAAGGATGTACGTGTGTTTGGGTGGAATGAAAAAGGGCTTTAGAGCTTGCCTGAGGGATTTTCTAGGTTTTGATGGGGCATTTATGAAGGGCCCTTTCCCAGGACAAATTTTAACTGCAGTTGGGGTAGACTCCAACAATGGAATATACCCCCTAGCTTATGCCATTGTTGAGACTGAGAACACTGACAGTTGGAAGTGGTTTCTAGAGTGTATTGCAGATGATCTGGACCTACATGCAAACTCAAACTTCACATTTATAAGTGACAGACAAAAGGTTTGTAATTTGTTGTTTATATTTGACATATTTGGATGTGCTATATTAACTATGTTTTAATTCCTTTACAGGGATTGCAGACTGCCATTTCTCAGTTGTTCCCATGTGCTGAGCACAGGTTTTGCCTTAGGCATATACATGACAATATGAGAAAAACATGGAGAACTAATGAGTACAAAGAACACTTGTGGAATTGTGCTACAGCAACAACAGTACCAGAGTTTAATCATAGGATGCATCAATTCAGCTCATATGATGTAGAAGCTTATAATTGGTTGAAGCAGATTCCCCCACAACATTGGGCAAGAAGCCACTTCACAGGTATATACTTCAACTTCCAAATTTACCCTTTTGTGTTGGTATATGTTTGATCCTTTTGTATTAGTATATGTTTGATCCTGACAATATTGTGGTGTTTTCAGGCAGAGCAGTTTCATATATGCTTCTAAATAATCTTTGTGAAGTTTTTAATAGCAAATTGATTGAGGGAAGGGACAAGCCACTGATATCCTGCTTGGAGTACATTAGGGAGTATATGATGAAAAGAATATGCAATGTCATAAAGGTTCAAAAGAAGTGTGTTGGTCCACTAACCCCATCTGCAACAAAGATCATGGAGAAGAATGTGAATTGGGCATCTCAGTACACAGTTAGGTGGAATGGGTCAGATAAATACCAAGTGCAAGGGCCATGGCAGGATCAACATGTTGTTGATATGGTTGAAAGAGTATGCAGTTGTAGGAAGTGGGAATTAACAGGACTCCCTTGTAAGCATGTCATTGCAGTCCTAAATGACAAAGCAGATAATGGTGAGGAAGTTGGAGAACTGCACACTTATGCCCACAGGGTGCACTGGCTAGAAACATGGAAAGCAGCTTATGTGTACAAAGTAGAGCCTATTAAAGGTCGAGCAATGTGGCCTATAAGTGAATGCCCAATTAAAATCACCCCTCCTATACACAAAAATCAGCCTAGAAGGCCAAAGAAAAAGAGGAGGCACTCTGCTGAGGAGAAAAGCCAGAAGAAGGGAGACAATGTTGCTAGTGGTAGTGGGAGTCAAAGCAATATTGCTAGTAGGAGTGGAAAGCTTACAAGAAAGTTTATCCAAGTAACCTGCAGCAAGTGTAAAATTAAAGGGCACAATGCTAGAACTTGCAAAGGCCAAGGGGGTAAGTGATTGGATTTCAAGGGATTTTGATGTTTGTAGGGGTATAAGTGTCTTTTTGGGATAATGTTATGTTTATGTGTATTGTATGTTTAGTACTTTCTGTGTTTTGGGGTTTAACCATTTTGGATGTTACTTTTGGTACTTGATAGTGTACCCCTGTGATGTATGGGAACAATTTACACTGGATTTAATGTAATGATGTCTTGATGTTATTGTAATGTATAATTTTTTGTTGTAGAAGTTGACCAGTATACCCTTTTAAACAAAACATACATTTGTCATTGATAATGTGTAAACTACATACAAAATAAATTGATCAATATGCCCTTTTAATCAAAACATACATTTGTCCATATACAAAATAAATAGACCAATATGCCCTTTTAAACAAAACCACAAGACAAAACTGCACACATGGTCTTATGGTTTACACAAAATTGCCCAATATAAATTGACCAATATGCCCTTTTAATCAAAACATACATTTGTCCATATACAAAATAAATAGACCAATATGCCCTTTTAAAAAAAACCACAAGACAAAACTGCACACATGGTCCTGTGGTTTACACAAATTTGCCCAATATAAATTGACCAATATGCCCTTTTAAACAAAACATACAATTTTCATTGATAATGTGTAAACCACATACAAAATAAATAGACCAATATGCCCTTTTAATCAAAACATACATTTGTTATTGATAATGTGTAAACCATATACAAAATAAATAGACCAATATACCCTTTTAAACAAAACCACAAGACAAAACTACACACATGGTCCTGTGGTTTACACAAAATTGCCCAATATAAATTGACTAATGCCCTTTTAAACAACACCACAAACAAAATAAATTGGTCAAAATGTACATACCAAATATAATCACCATTGACAAATTGCTGCAAAACATGTCTTACATTGCTTACATTATAACCAAAAAAGACTACCACAAAGTATTGCCCAAAAGATTACATTGCTTAAACAAGATACTACCAAAAACCTTAAAACACTACCCAAACCATTACATTTCAATATACTGCTTAGAAACCAGCCAAACCATTACACTTACAAACCACCCAAACCATTACACTTCAATCTACTTCTTATAAACCAGAACAAACACGAACAACACCCAACTGCATAACAGGTAACACTTGAGTCTTGTGTTTTGTGACTTCACTTTGTTGATTGACCTCAGCAGCCCAGGTATAATAGCTTTTGAACGTTCACAAATTGGACCATCAAACCACCCAATAAATCGACATTTGGATCCCTTCAAAATTTAAGAATCAAAAGAAGATCGTAACATCTAATGGGAGATTTATACTGAAATCCAAAAAAAAAAAACAAAATGCGTACCTCAGTAGGGCATCCCCAGAAGCGTCTACCTGGATTTTTATCAGTCCATGCTGTGCGAACTATGGCCATTTTACCACAAAAACAAAGCACCATTTTTGATTTTGATTTCTTGAAGAAATCGGTCGGAGAGTTGCAGAAGATCAAAATGAGAACGACGACAAAGAAGATGGATTGGGATTCGTTCTTATTACTCTCCTTTATTAATATAAAATAAAGGGCATAAATAGGGAATGACCAAAATACCCCTGATTTGACTAGTCAAACATAACTTAACAGAGAGAAACAAACGGAAGTTAACCCATTGGACCAAATATGCAAGAAAATGGAAACTTTGGACTTGTGGTGCTAGCCAAAACGTTTTTGGACCAAAGTGGCAATTTTGTGTAAACCACAGGGACCATTTGTGCAGTTTACTCTAAATATAATAAACACACAAGCTCATAGGTGTAGAGAAGTAACCAAAAAAAACTTACTGATAAATATTTAAAAATAATAATATGATGGTTAAAAGAGTTCCACACTTAGCAATGTGGGAAATCTAGCCTACTTTTCCAATCTTAAAAGTGTAGTGATGTAGGTAATTTGTCCACGTTTTTAAATTTGGAGTTTTAACTTTTTTATCATATATTAAAGTGTAAAGATTTAGAAATAACTTGTCAGGAAACATTTCTTCATCCAAGTTAATAATCTTATACACTTTTAAGTGTGAATACATCCAAAGAATTGTGTAGAGTTTATTTATTTCTTGTAGTGTGATATGTATATTTGTATATGTCCATACGTATACACACTCACACATATTTACATACACATATTTACATACACATAGACACATAGAAATAGAAATGGAAATTTCAATGACATCACATTCGGATGAGGATATCATAGCTACTTTCACCTTTCATCCTCCACAACTCTCTTAGCTTCCCCAACTTATATACATGAATGCATCTCAAATTGCTACAGTGTTTTTCAATTTCACCAACACAACTCATCTCAATGTTAAATAACATTTCAAAGCTTCCAAAATAACTAACATGAAGCTCTTCCAGACGACCCAACAAATACATGTGATTAACTGGAAACAAATTCACAAGATTATTATGTTTCTTCACTTCATCTTTCTAAAAATCTAGCAAAGATTATGCATTTTAACACACCCAATGTAATTGCTATCGATCAACGAATTTGCATTTTTAAGATTCTGCACACATGTTTTTGTCCTGTCTCTCGCATCTACCACAGCAGAAACATCATTTAACAATCGTAAGCCCTACAATCGTAGGGCCTACGATTTTTAAATGATGTTTCTACGGTGGGAGATGCTAGAGACAGGACAAAAACATGTGTACAGAATCATAAAAATGCAAATTTGTTGATCGATAGCAATTACATTGGGTGTGTTAAAATGCATAATTTTTGTTTGCTTATGTATGGAGATAGACTTATGTATGGATATAAGTCTCTTGTGAGTTCCTCGATTGGAATATGAAAGTCATCAAGAAACAAACCACAACGCAGAAAAATCCTTTTTTTCTCCTCATCTATTAAATAGGTATAGCTTATCTCAATGAGTTTAACTGCAACGGGCAGAAAACCATCTAATATCACTAAAACCTTTTTGTCCTTCAAACATCTTCCCAAACCTTATACGAAGACAATCAACACTTGCTGTTATACTCATTTCTATTAGAGGTTGACCCATGTATTATGCTAGAGCTTGTTGAATAGATAATATGTTAATCATTTGTCCAATGACCACCTTCACAATCCAATCAAACATTTTCTTATCTTCTGCAGCCTTTTTCAATTGTTCTATCATTGTGGTTGTCCCCATACCTCCAATTCCACATAGGGTTATCACTTGGCTCGTGTGATCTTGTTGAAGGAACTTGAGTGCATCCTTAAAACTTTTCTCTCTCGATTTCAAGTAATTTTGGGCATCACCATCCCACAATGTTGAAGTAGATGTGTTTTGAGAATTCACTTTTCTAAGAAGTTTTTGAGCATCACTCCAAATTATCTTACTATTTTCTTCAATAAGACTTCCCATCTCCTCTGTAATCTTTAATGCATTTCTTCCTGCTCGATACCTCATTTTCAAGTTAAAACATCCATTCCCTTTACTTGAAATGATTTGAGCATCTTCTTTAATCTTTTCCATATCTTTTAACCACCTTGTTACACGAGCACGAGCAGGTATATCCAGATTACTTATGTTGTTTGTTTCCACGTGATTTTTGACATCACCGCTTGTACAATCCGGTTGCTTCATTCTAGTATTCATGTCCCTAACATGTTTTGTGGAGGAATAGAGATAATCTAGCTGTTTTTTGACAGGAAACATTAATGATTCAACAATAGGACTAAGGATTGCAAATACAAACCCCATCTTTAGATTTTCAAGCTCCTAACATGTTTTGTGGAGGAAAAGAGATAACCTAGTTGTTTTTTGACAGGAACCACTAATGATTCAACAATAGGACTAAAGATTGCGGATACATACTCCATCTTTCAATATTCTAGCTTTTACATAGACCTGCAAACCATGTAACAGATATAAAATAGGGATGAAATTGTTAAAAGTTGTTACTTAGTATACAATATCCATGGATATTTTCAATATTAATTTGCAGAATTATCTTTTTTCAAATATCATGTATAATCCATAGATAATTAACATTACAGAAATTGCCTTCAGGATTTAAGACACATAACATGTTTAGTTGGTAAATTAATGTGTATGTAAATTCATAGTTAATATGATGTTTGTCTTCCCTTGTCAACTTCACTTTTGTTTTCTTTAAATCGACTGAAAGCGGGAATAGATTGTTAATTTTAGCTCTTCACCATCGTGTAAAATTTTGAGAATGATGAGGAAGAAATAGCGTGCCTCGAAATAGGGGATTTATTAGGGCTAGAACTGATATCTACATAGAAGCATCCATCCTAAGAAAACCTCTAAAACATTGTTCAATAATCAAAAGAAGGAAATTGAGGAGCCATAGTTATCCATTTAAACATTTACTTGAATTTATCCGTAGACCATTCACAAACAATCAACAACGAGTAGCAAAGAAAACATTTTTTTTCCAGATATATACTTTCGTCAAGGATCGATAGATCCACAACAAAAACAACTAAGACAGGTGATTCTTTAACAAAGAGAAAAACTTTCAACAAAAACGTACCTCGCTCTATGCGGTTGTGCTAATGCTTGCTGTTTTGTTAAGTATGTTTGTGAACAAGTAGTTCGAATTGTGATGAAGAAGCCCAGTATCTCACCAGTCCCATTGTTTGCTTTTATGAAGGATAATGTCAGTTTCCACCCTTGAAGATGTAATATTTTTCATTTACACCACATATTTCTCTAGTTTTCGCGCATCACTTCCCAAGAAGGAAAAGAGAGTCTTAAAGTTTCAAAATAATCGTATTTGTTGCAAATGATTATTAGTTGGTTTAATATTTCAAAAACATTATATTAATTTCATTTAACCAGGAAAAAAAACATGTGTTTTTTTGTTTATTGGCGAATCAAGAATGGTTCTTGTTTCGAGTTTGGTCGGATGCCAAGTTAAAATGACAATACGTCTGTTATCATTTTTTTTTTTTTTTTTTTTTGTATAATTATCATATTATTATCAAGACAATATACACCCACCCACTGTACCCCATTATCCTTGTCGTCTCTTATGTATTAGCACTAATGTGCCTCCACAATATTTACGGGCTCTAATAAAAAATAATAGCGATTTTCGGCTGTGACAATTTGGGCTTCATATAAATTGATATTTAATGGGTTACCTCCACATTACGAAAATGACCCAATTTTACAAGACAGACATCAGCCGTTTAATGTTGGTGTACCGCAAAGTCCGCTCAAATGAGCTCTTAAATTACCCTAACAATGTGGGTTTCCCTACATCAATCTTTCATCTTATTGGGCCCATTCTAGCAAGATAAAAATCAATAGCTAATGATCACGTGTTGCAAGGCGGTCTAACAAAGTCAAAATCCAAAAGATACATTGTGGTCTAACTCGACGTTCTAAAAAAGAAAGAGAATGAGAGAGAGAGAAGGAAAACGAGTGGTGCTTAAATTCGTTCCACACGTAAAAAGAGGAATAAGGTAAAGGAAATTGGGCGTAATTGGGCTCCCACTAATTCACAAATGGGGTGTCACCATTTTGGATTTTTCTGCATGCGCTATCACAATCTTTATTTTGGGCTATCACTTAAGCAACAATAATAGGCTATTTTTGAAAATCATCAATTAGCCGCTCAAGGCCCGAATGATGCAATTCCACAAAACAAAATAAATTTTCAGAATATAAATTGTGGTCAGCCCGACGTTTCATCAAAAAGGGGGGGGGGGGAGAGAGAGAGAGAGAGAGAGAGAGAGAGAGAGAGAGAGAAGAGTAGTATGCTGTTGCTGCTACTCGTGAAGCATTTCAAAATAACCCTCAGCAATCGTGCTGCTCGACTATCGGTAGTTGCATTGACCAACTTCAGGCAGTCTCGCTACTTAGCCCTCACCATTTATGTTGACTGGCCCCCGCTAGTCTCGTTGCCCAACTCTCAATAGTCGCGTTGCCTGGATCTCAACACTCGCGCAACCCGATCCTCAACAGCCATGCGAACCAGCTTAGTAGCCGCGAAGCCCAGTCGTCAGCAGTTACGTGGTCCGATTCCCAGCAGCCGCACTACCCAGCCTTTGTCGGTACTTGTGTCGCCTAGCTTTTTCCAACAGTTATGTCGCTCAGTTTCTAACAACTATACATCGATTGTTCCCATCCTCCACCTCCCTTAAGAAAATGGGTGGGAGAAGAGTAGTGCATTATTGCTACTTCTACTCGCAAAGCATATCAAGATTATCGCAATTTTAATCAGTTTATTATTTCAAGAAAGTATACTAACTATCAAATCTGATTGTGTTGTCTTTTCAGATAGTTGCTCTAGTGTCGCAACACTCAGAGCTCGCCGACGAAGCAAAGCTCGGCCTGTAAGACATGAGCAAGGGACTTGCAAACCTGTACAAACGAATGAGGCTCGAACACGCAAGAAACAAGCCAATATCATATATCCATTTATTCTTAATCCTCACCGTTTCTAAAAAGGGGGAAGTAGAGGGATTAGCACAACACTATGCAAAAGTGTTGTTTCTATTTCGAGTAAAGAGTTGAATTACATAACGAGCTGACGTTGTATACGATTATGCATCCTTGGGAAGAGATTGGTGTTATGAATGAAAGAGAAGCTTCATAGCCCAACAACAAACATCAACCACGTTGCACAACTATCAACAACCGTGTTGGCCGGCCCCGGGCAGTCTCGCAGCTCAGCTCTCAATAGACATGTTGCTTAACTCTCATCAGCTATGATGCCCAACTTTTTATAGTATTCATACGGCCCAACTCCCAACAGCAATGATGCTTAACTCTCTACAGCTAATGATGTGGCAGAACATCAAGTGTCGTTATACCTCAGCTACTCTTGATAACTCGGACCAGACACATAGATTGTCGGTCGCTACTCCCAAACCCGCAAAGGTCTAGTATCTTTGCCTCGAGTCGCATGGCTTCTCAGCTCGACTCTATTAAAGTGGAAAGCTATGCATGCAAGGTCCAGTATCCTTGCCTTGAGTCGTCTGGATTCTCAACCCGACTCTATTATAGCGGCAAGCTCCGCGTGCAAGGTCCAGTATCCTTGCCTTGAGTCGTCTGGCTTCTCAGCCCGACTCTATTATAGTGGCAAGCTCCGCATGCAAGGTTCAGTATCCTTACCTTGAGTCCTCTGGATTCTCAGCCCAACTTTATTATAGCGGCAAACTCCGATTGCAAGGTCCAGTATCCTTTCCTTGAGTCATCTGGCTTCTCAGCCCGACTCTATTATATCGGAAAGCTCCACATGCAAGGTCTAATATCCTTGCCTCGATTCGTGTGGCTCCTCAGCCCGACTCCATTATAGCGGTAAGCTCCACCTGCAAGGTTCAGCACCTTTGCCTTAAGTCACTTGGCTTCTCAGCCCGACTCTATTCTAGCTGCAAGTTCCGTGTGCAAAGTCCAGTACCTTTGCCTTGATTCGTCTGACTCCCCAACCCGACTCCACTACAACGGCATGCTTCGCCAACGAGGCTCAAAGGCTTGCAACCTTTGCCTATATGATTCCACGTGATGCTCTCTTGCGTGATGTATCTACGATTGTTGGCAGCTGAACCCGATCCATTCTACGCGATGCTCTCCCGTGTGATGTATCTGCGATCGTTGGCTGCTAAGCCCAAACTATTCTTCTAAGTCGCGCAACATAAGTCATGTATTTTCGCACATCGTAAGTCGTGCACCATAAGATTATGTCATGCTTAGCACCACATTTGGTGTCTCTTCCCTTATAATCAACATGGTTTTCCTATGCTCGGACGATCAATAAGGCGTCTCCTACATTACATCTTGCTATTGCAAGGTTACTCTTCAAAAAGAACGCTACCAACAGTAACATTGTCACTTGTAATCCATCAACAGCTATGGTGTCCAGCTCTCGGCAACAGTCTGGTTGTCTATTACCATGGAAACAACCTCGTTGCCTATTCTTATAGCAACCTTGCCATATGCACGATAGTCTGATAGGGCTACCTATGCTACCCACATCAGACTGGGGGGAATCCAGCTAGGTATAACTCGAGCAGGAAATACCTTCAGAATGGTTATTAGTGCTCATGCAGAACAGACTATGAAGATAATTATCGATGACATTCCCCCAAGATGATAAAAATGTTGTGACATCTGTGTCATACACTCTTTAGCAGCCCCGCACCGCATAACATTACCAGTAATAGTTACGCTGCATCCCACCGACCGGATCACACTCCTCTCAATGAAGGAGTGTCAAGTCAGCTCAGGCTACATAAGCAATGATTGGCTCACCGCACAACACCACGACTCATGTGGGCGAGGTTCGGTTGTTCTCTTTATTATTTAATGCATTAGTGCTTTGTCTAATCTGATCTGATCGAACTAGGGGACTTGACGACACACAGTTTATATGACTAAGTCCAGTCCAATGTCATTGGTCGTGTACCGATAACATCGGACTGGAGGGACTTGATGATATATGGTCCATTGGCATGGCCTATACAGCTCTAGTGTGCCAGTCTTGCCTGGCGCTCCATTACCAGCCTTGCTAGGGACTCCCTTGCTAGCCTCACTGGGGACTTTCCTGATGGCCCAACTTGGCGCTTCCTTGCTTGGCGCCCCCTTCCCAGCTTCTTGCTAGTTGGGGCTGAATTGGACTCCCCAAGGCCTAACCTAATTCCCCATGACCTGGTTGTCCACTATAAATAGAATAATGCCTCCTCCATGGAAAGGGACTTCAGCCAATGGCTCAACCGCCACCCATATCTCTCCCCTTGGCTCAGCCGTCACTCTACACTCCGGCCGGGTGGCTCAGCCACCACCCACCGCTGTCAACCAACATACACCACCACCAGCACCAAGATGGTCCTCTCCAGCTACGAGAACCAACTCAGATATACCAGCTGATCTAACTTGATCGTCGGAGCCTGCTCCCGAGGCACAGTCTTTGGGGTGGTTCTAACATATCTCTCTGATTATGACTAGCAGATCTCTCCGCCTTAGATGTCATCAAGATAAGAGAAGACCAGAAGAATCTCTAACGACACTCCCTCGCAAAATGGCCATGTCTGCGACAATTGTGGCACCCAGTCGCTGATCGACATACACCTTCATGCACTTTCCCGCACTTGCCACAAGTGTGGTCCCTCTGTCCTCCAGATCGCGAATTAGTGGATTTGAACCGCTTCGCTGTTGGTTGTGTCTGAAATGGGGGCTGCCACTTCTATCTGGTTTGGGTCTCAATCTCAATCTCTCTCCTCCGAGCGAAAGATTGTAGCTCAGAGAGATATCTATACCTCTAAGTCGATACAAACTCGTGGATCTCCGTCTTGAACATGATCTAGTAATACGACATCTGAACCTGCTCCGAAGCAGCATACTCGGGGCAGAAAAGAGCTCTATCAGTAAACATATTAGTGATATCCATCACCGACTCTGTCGTCTTCTTCAACGATAGATACTCCTAAGCTAACCTCTCCCTCTTAACCAATGGAACGTACTCGGTACAGAACATCTCTATAGGAGAATAAGCACTGGTCACCAGCTTCCACCAGTCCTTCGCCCCCAAATGAAGAAGGTTCAAGGAAAACTTAACCTTCTGGTCCTCTAGGCATGAGAAAGTGAAAAAACAACCCTCCACATCAGATATCCACCTCATAGAAACAATCGAGTCCTTGACCCTGTCAACCTCCGGGGGCTTCGTGTTGTTGAAGTCTTGATACTGAACCACCTTCTCCTCTAGACTCCCACAACAGCAATAGTTGCAATGGCTGTAACAATAACAACCTCAGTAATGGCGGAGTATCTCTCATAAAAAAGCTCAATCATTGCGGTCTTGACAAACCCAAACATCTTTGGGATGGACTCCCTAGCAGCCATGGTCACCTGAGTGGTGATCATCTCATGAATCTCATCATCAGTCAATCCTGGCCTCTCTAGGCCGTCCGCTCCAAATCCCAAACCTCTCATGATCGCCATACTGAAAACAAAATGAATACATCAGAAAAGCTACAATTCATACCACATCATCACGAAATCACTAAATCCTAGAGGTTCATGACTTCCTTAATATACGTATGGGTCTTGTGCTTCCGGACCACCCGACCGCCAAGACCAAAATACTAGGATACACATACATCCTATACTAGGATCTCATGCAAGAGTCCTAAAACTTAACCATACTTCAGATCCAACACTTATCTCAACAAAGGGACACTAGAGATCCATAAAGTTGACAACTTTATGGACCCACATCATTATATCAAGCCTAAGCATGAAAGATGGTACATAAAATCCTAGATATAAGCTTATTGACTCATAAAGCAATGAACTTGGAAACTCACAAGGGTATAAAAGGTGTGAAAATGGATGGTGGTAAAACTTGAATGTTGATTTGATGCACCAATCTCTATATCTCCTTCTTATTGTCTAGAAAACACCCAAATGGAGCTCAGAATCAACTATGGAGGATTAGGGTTTCAAGGGCAAATGTTAGGAGGTGATAGAGGCTAAGGGTCGGCTAACCCTAGCCCTTACTTCTTTTAAATAGGGGAAAGCTCCCTGAAATTAGGGTTTGGCTCACAACAAATTTTACGATGTGACCCATAAGTGGTCACGTCGTGACTCCTAAATTCATGCTCGATTTCGAGAGGCCATGTCATGTTGTGACACATAAGTGCTCACATCCTGACCTAGGTTTAAGCCCAAAATCTGGTTAATAAATTAATAAAATGATTACCTGAACTGGGTGTTACATAACTTATATATTTGTTTGACTAATAGGATATTTATTTAGAGCATGTAATATCTCAAATATAATATTCCATTTAGATCTTTGTATCTGCAATTGTTTTCTTTGTATCTACAATTATTAGAAATGGTATATGGGCTTAACTCATATACTTGTGGAACATTCATATTTTATTCTATCATCAAATTCAATTGAACATGAGTTAGTCAGTTAGAAGACAATAAGAAATTCATATTTGTATCAAATGACATGTGGCGGCAAGCCGTTTGAGATGGCCCTACGTTTTGGATAAGAGAATGGATAACATATTTACATTTGGGAACCATTCCTTTTTCTACACCTCATGTATCTGTTTCCATCTCATTTGCACCGTACACCAACAATTCCATCCAATGGCATCCATAACAATGTCAACTACATTCCTTGGTGCCAAGAAGAAGTATGATCCTATATGTGTTACTATGCCAACTGCATGTATTTTCCTTAGCTTATTAAATTGTATCATTATAAATGTTATGTTTTCTCTCTATGTTGAATTCTATCTTGTAAAGATGCATTTTTTTTGTAAGAATTGTATTTGACTTTCTATATAAAAACAACCACCATAGTAATTTGAACAAGACAACGAAAATAGTAATCTTATTTTATTTGGATGACTTTTATTCATCATGCTTGTTGGAAATTCGTGTATTGGGGATAACAACTATATTCATGCATAAATGAAAATTTCTCAAAGAACGAATTTTCGATTTACAGTCTATGGATTCAAACCTTGAAGGAAAACAAGTTGTGTGTCACTATCCATTCACGAGTGCATACAAAACCAAGTCCAAGCTTCTTGAAGCATCTATATTGTGTACTTACAATGGTAGTTTTTAAACAGACATGCGTTTGTATTTTTCTTCAAAAGAACTATAAGAAGGTAAATATTCACCTTTACGATCACTTACATGTACGAAGACATACCTAAATAGGATGATGTGTCACGTGTGCTCCAATCTCTAGTTGCAAACTTTCCTCATTGAATTCAACTTCTAACACCACACTAGAAGGGTATTTGAAAACTCGCCGTTAGAGATGTATTTAAGGGAGCCTTAATCTCAACCCTGCTCTAGCTAAACCGTTTATCAAGTGGTTTGATAAATTTTTTTGAGTCCGGATAACTTTGTGGATATCACTATATTCATGATCTACTCACAAAATGGACGAAAATGTATCAAGTAAATATGATTTTGTTGTCATGGTTGTGGACCGATGAAAAGAATCGAGTCATCAAAGATACCAAAGCTCTCTTAGAATGGAAGATCAAGAAGTTGTGTTACAAGAAAATTGAATTGCTTTTGGTGATATGGTAGCATAGCGTTGGGTCATATCTGAATAACATACTTGAAGTTCATCAGATTGAGTCAACTAGGTAAGTCAACTGAAACCCTTGTAGCTTTCGGTTTATGTTGCATTTAATGTTATAATGTGATTATCAACCTCATGTCACCCTTGGGATCAATTGTCGATATGGAGTAGCATTTGTAAGTTTGGTATAACTAGGTTAGTCGAAATATTGATCGAAAGCTAAATTTTGAATTTCAAGT